GAGGGGGTGGGAGGCTGGCGTGAGGGGTTGGGAGGCTGGCGTGAGGGGTTGGGAGGCTGGCGTGAATGGTTTGGAGGTTGAGAGGCTGGCTGAGGGGTTGGGAGGCTGGCTGAGGGGTTATGACGTTGGCTGAGGGGTTGGAAGGCTGGCTGAGGGGTTGGAAGGCTGGTGGATGGGTTGGGAGGCTGGCTGAGGGGTTGGAAGGCTGGCTGAGGGGTTGGAAGGCTGGTGGATGGGTTGGGAGGCTGGCTGAGGGGTTGGGAGGGTGGCATGAGGGGTTTGGCGGTTGGCTGAGAGGGATGGACGACTTAGGGATTGGTCATGTACAAGAATGGGTATCTGAGGGATTGGGAGGGTATGAAATGGGGTTTACAGTGACAGTTTTAAGGTTATTAATAGGTTAACTTGGGACATTTGTGAGCCCTGTAGCCATCTTTTCCTTTAACAGCAGACAGACAGACAGACATACCTCTGGTTTCAGCTCTGTTTGGAGTGCCGGGCACATGATTGTGATGGTTCATCTACTTTGAGGCGATCCAATATATCTGTAGTGACATAACAATACACCAGAACAATATTATCATTCCAATAGTAATGTTCTTATCAGTAGTTATGGACATGAGATAAGAATTCCCTCATCTAGCAATCGTTATCCAGATTGCATGACTATCTCAGGTCTATGGGCGCAGACACTGACAGCCATTGCCACCAGGGCTGGGTTTATACTTCCTGACCCCTTAGGCCAACTTTCTTGTGCGCTCTTACTCCTACCCCATTCCTATACCTGAGGCTAGGACCGGAGACACTTTGTCCGCTCGGTGCCCTTATATCTAGAACTTACAACTAAGGAGTAGAGTAAACTATCATCCTATTGTTCTAGGTGTATAGAGCCAGAGTAGGTGAATTATAATTACACAGCACCAAACCATCACCAAACAGGCTCAGTATTTGCCAAAAGGCATCCAGGGTGGCCGTCTGGAATCCTTTAAATATATGAAATGTGGGCTGTGTGTCACCCCAGACGGACGTACCACCCTAGGCCACAAACCAGCCCTGCTCACTGCGCCATTCAGATAAGCTCAGCAAGTGGGAGGAGCCTGGCTAAGCCTGACTTTTACAGGTAAAGTCATGATTTGCATATCATACAGCTATCTTTGGATCCACTCACTGTTGTCCTATGCAGCATTTGCTGAGGGGAACCTCCAGTCACTGTTTGCTTGGATAGTTTAAAGGTTTGCGTTGCTGCCTAACACGTTTCTCAGTGTGAGACCAGAAACAACCCGCAACACACTGCTGGGAAAAGACAACACAACACGGGACTGACATGTGGGCAGAAGGAATAGAAACATTGTGTGGATGAACAATACAATTATTACACATGTGTGGATGGGGGGAGGAGGAGGGACGGGGAGTCCATAGAAGAGACAACCGGTGCCCAGGACAGTGAGGGTACTGGGTACCTACCTCCAGTGCTCTTTACTATGCGGGCACCAATCTTAATGCCTTCCATTCACTAATACAGTGTGGTATCTACCTACCTCCTCCAGTGCCCTGTACTATGCAGACATCTACCTTCCTGGCTCCAGTGCCATGTACTATGCAGACACCTACCTTCCTGCCTCCAGTGCCCTGTACTATGCAGACACCTAACTTCCTGCCTCCAGTGCCATGTACTATGCAGACACCTACCTTCCTGCCTCCAGTGCCCTGTACTATGGGGACACCTACCTTCCTGCCTCCAGTGCCCTGTACTATGCAGACACCTACCTTCCTGGCTCCAGTGCCCTGTACTATGCAGACACCTACCTTCCTGGCTCCAGTGCCCTGTACTATTGGGGCACCTACCTTCCTGCCCCCAGCGTCCTGTACTATGGGGACACCTACCTTCCTGCCTCCAGTGCCCTGTACTATGGGGACACCTACCTTCCTGCCTCCAGTGCCCAATACTATGGTGATACCTACCTTCCTGCCTCCAGTGCCATGTACTATGCAGACACCTACCTTCCTGGCTCCAGTGCCCTGTACTATTGGGGCACCTACCTTCCTGCCCCCAGCGTCCTGTACTATGGGGACACCTACCTTCCTGCCTCCAGTGCCCAATACTATGGTGATACCTACCTTCCTGCCTCCAGTGCCATGTACTATGCAGACACCTACCTTCCTGCCTCCTGTGCCCTGTATTATGTGATCACTTACCTTCCTGCCTCCAGTGACCAGTACATTGGAGTATCTACCTCCCTCCTCCAGTGCCCAGATATCTAGCTCCAGTGCCCATCCCTATGTGGTCACCCACCTTCAGTGCCCGGTACAGTGGAGTATCTACCTTCCAGCCTCCAGTACTATGCGGGTACCCACCTGCTTCCAGTGCCCGGTCTGATGGAGGGTACTCACCTTCAAGCCGGCTTCTCCCTCACCCCTCCCGAGCTCCGTTCTTCACTTTCAGGCTCCGCCCATCACAAACTCTTCCCGTTGCCTGGAGACGCGGTGTCACGTGCTCTCCCTGCACTTCCGCTCCTCGCCGCCGTGGTTTTTCTCCTTGAATCGGCGACCCGGGTCACGTGACGTCTCCAAGATGGCGGACACGACCAGTCAGCTGCTGTTGGGCTCCGGCCTGACCGTCGTGTCCCATCCGCTCATGTACGTGAAGATGCTGGTGCAGGTGAGTGGGGGCTGTCAGTGAAAGTGCACCGGGGGCTGTCAGTGATGTGGGAGGGGCTGACAACTGTCAGTGCTGCTCTGTATCCGGTCATGGGTGATCATTGCACCACCCAGCAGATTGCTGTCAGACCGCACTGTAGTTGTCACGTCTGTAGGTGTCATCAGAATGCACTGGACTAGACCAACCAACCAACCAATCATTCAGTGTGATGAAAATGGTCAAAAATTACAAAATCTCTATGAAAAGACCCTCCATTCCATCCATTTAGTGAGCTGCCGATTGATTTTGGACCAAGTTGATCCGCCATGGCGGAATTTTATTAATCGCTGCCGATCAATCTGATAAATATTGTCATGCGTGTCAGAGAACCGATTCTAATTCAGATCTGTTGACGCATCATTTTTTTTTATACATGATTTTTATTCATAACATTGTATTTCAGTGGATTATTTTCAGTCGAGCGTGCGGAAGAATACCGCATTTGTTGTATCGTTCGATCATTTAATCAATGATTAATAATTTGCCATCGCTCGTACATAAATCGACCACAAATGGCTACGTGTATGGCCGCCTTTAGAGTCCCCATGGGCATGAAATGGCGATATCTGGATCTGGTTGTCACATGGCCGTTCTGTGGGATGACAGATCAACATGATCGCCGTGCCTGAGCATGCAGATATCCTCCATCTTGGGAAAATCCATGCTGGATGATTGGCTCTTCCGGCCAGATTGGATGGTAGTGGTTGTCCTGCACAGGTCGTGTGTAGTCCAGATTAAAGCTGAACTCTGCTTTATTGCCCTTGACTCCCCCCCGCACTACAAGGGTTAAATGTTTGTCTGGGGTTAGAGGAATGAGGTGTAATACCTGCCTTATTCCTCCCTCCAGCAGGCTTTGGGGGCTCACCTCTTCTCTCCAGGAGTTGCCTTGTCTTATGTCTTCACGTACAATGCAGGGCTATCTGTCCTGCCTTGTATTTGATGCAACTACTGGCCAAAGAGGGCCAGTTCACACCAACTCCACCAGAACCACTTGTGACATTTCAATAAAGTTCTACAAAAAGAAAAAAAAAACAGTGCAATGCGGCTCGATGGAGCGCTTTAGAACTGTCCGGTGGCACGCACACCAGCAGCGGTTGAGTGTGCTGCTGCTGTGAATGTACCCTAAGAGTAGAGGCTTTGTGGGACTGGTCACATAGATAGTGGGAGCCTGCCAGAGCCTCACTTCTGATGCTTTCTGTTAGAGAGTACAGTCGCTTCTGACGTTGCACGCCTCTGCCTGGTCCCCTCTGGCGTTGCACGCCACTGCCTGGCCCCCTCTGGCGTTGCACGCCACTGCCTGGTCACCTCCTGGCGTTGCACGCCTCTGCCTGGTCACCTCCTGGCGTTGCACGCCCCTGCCTGGTCACCTCCTGGCGTTGCACGCCCCTGCCTGGTCACCTCCTGGCGTTGCACGCCCCTGCCTGGTCACCTCCTGGCGTTGCACGCCCCTGCCTGGTCACCTCCTGGCGTTGCACGTAGGCAACTCTGATGCTGCACATCGGTGGTGCGTGGTCATTTTATAGTGTTCTTTCCCAGAATGCAAAGCCTCCTGTGATTGGAGGAGGGGGATCCTGTCATTTGTCCGCCTGTCCCCCATTTACAGGGTGCTTTGCATTTTGGAGAAGAATACTACAACTTCTGGGAATGGACGAGAGAAGGACACTTTAACAGCAGGGCTCTTATAGGACACTGTTCCTCATTCGGGAGATGGTGCGTGTCATTAACCTGCGGGCAGTCATTTGACAGAGCAGCAACTCTCAGACTTCAGGTGACCTCTCACCTCTAATCCTCAAAGCTTAGCGTCATCTTCAGACACAAGAACTTAATCTGAATAAAGATGGACGATTTCAGGAGCTGCCGGGTCTCATCTTTATTGTATAAATCCTGAAGAAGAGTTTTGAAAACCTGTATCTTCAATAACTCAATAAAGGCTCCCATATGACAGTCTACGAAAGTACCAAATCTATTTACTCTGTGATGTAATGGCCTCGTAAAGTAAACAGCAAAGTTCCTTTTCCTTTCCTGACTGAGCCAAATCCTCCATTTCTCTCACACGCTCCCCGTCCCAGACACTGCAATTTACAGTGGAGGGTTTCATCAATGCTCTAAATGCAGAAACTAGTGGGCAGGGTTAGGTATGGTCAGGTGCCGACTGACAATCTACAGGGGTAGCCAAACTCTGGCCCTCCAGCTGTGGTGGAACTACACATCCCACGATGCATCTCTCTCCGGGAGTCATGTCTGTGGAGGTGAAAATCTTGCAATGCCTCATGGGATTTGTAGTTCCACTACACCTGGAGTGCCGGAGTTTGGCTACCCCTGACAAGCTGTGCATCAGCAGTGACATCAGCACATCCTCCTTCCACTGTGGTACAAGCAGGCACAGCCTATGTGAGAGTCACAACTCTGCTCTGAATTCAGGAGCAATGCAGCATCATCCCCCCCCATCACAGGATGCTACAGTAATGTATTCCTCTGACCCAAAAGGGAAGTAAGAAAAAAAAAGATAAGGTGTAATTCTCTAATCGAATCAAAATGTTTTGTTGTAGATTACATACAGTGGTGATAGGATGAGGTTCAGTAAAGCACTTTGTTATGAGCTTGATGATGGCATTTTTTACCTACAGACATTGAAAGTCTGGCTGATGAATCAAGCAAGACTCGGACACTAATTGATCATTGCCGGTGAGAGATTGTGGCACAGACAGGTTTTTATCTGGATATTGTGCATGCTGGAGACTCCTCCGGTGCTTTTTTCACGTAGTTGTCAGCGTTCCACCAGGAAGAATCCAGCCCATCCAGTTTGTAAGCTTTAAATGGAGCTTTGATACGTTTTGGCTGAAGTTGGGCTTTTACGCTGTGTGAAATATTACCGATTACATCATTCACTGTAAGCACATTTGTATGTGGCACAGATATAATGCAAACAGTATGGGTGTGGTGACTACAGATCAGGGCACTGAGATCTGTTGTTGGAGGTTGGGTTCAGATGTGAGTGGAGATCAGGGCACTGAGATCTGGTGTTGGAGGTTGGGTATAGAGGTGACTACGGATCAGGGCAGGTTGGGTATAGAGGTGAGGGCCGCAAATACAAGAAGCTCTAGAATCCTGTCTTTCACAGGGACATACTATACTCCGGGGAGCCGTAGTACGTGAGAGCTGTTCCAGAGGTAGCTAATCATTATCCATTCCCTGTAAAACATTCCAGCAATAATATGAAAGTCCAAAATAAGATAATCAAGGTAAAGGTGAATTCTCCTGCAGCCATTCACCCAATCTCCTAATTTATAAGATGTCAAGTGAGCAGAAACTACTATGGGGGACATTGTATGTCCTCATTCTGCTCTGCCATAATGAGCAGAAACTACTATCGGGGGCAATGTATGTCCTTATTCTGCTCTGCCATAATGAGCAGAAACTACTATGGGGGACATTGTATGTCCTCATTCTGCTCTGCCATAATGAGCAGAAACTACTATGGGGGACAATGTATGTCCTCATTCTGCTCTGCCATAATGAGCAGAAACTACTATCGGGGGCAATGCATGTCCTCATTCTGCTCTGCCATAATGAGCAGAAACTACTATCGGGGGCAATGTATGTCCTCATTCTGCTCTGCCATAATGAGCAGAAACTACTATCTGGGACACTGTATGTCCTCATTCTGCTCTGCCATAATGAGCAGAAACTACTATCGGGGGCAATGTATGTCCTCATTCTGCTCTGCCATAATGAGCAGAAACTACTATCGGGGACAATGTATGTCCTCATTCTGCTCTGCCATAATGAGCAGAAACAACTGCCGGGGACAATGTATGTCCTCATTCTGCTCTGCCATAATGATTGATCATCTCCAGCGTTTCAGAGTTTACTTTGTATTTCTTTTTACAGAAAATCGGTCACTGCCACAATCCATGCGCTTAAACCAGACTTTACCTCCTCCCCCTCTAGAAGAAGGGACTTTTGCAATGGACTGGTGTGTCTCCTTGTGATATTTTGTCTGCACTGCAGTGTTGTCACAAGGCAATGTTTTTTAAATGGCTAAGCAGAGGGAAGGGGTGACGGCACAACATTGGAACTGGTTCCTGTAAAGCTGACCATACACTTATAGTTGTTTGGTCTGAACAAGAAAAATGCTTGAAGCCCCCAGCCCCAGACTGGCTGCAGTCCCTGTTCAGCCCAAAAATTTTCGCCCAACTCCTTCGACAAAAGTGGAATTAAAAATCCACTTTTGTGGAATGAAGGGGTGCCAACTGGGCCACACTCCGCTCAAATTCCATCCATGTCATCAGGACTTGACCTAAATTCAAACAGAGTATGGATGGCTTCTTGCCTATAGACCCGATACCAATGCAGATGGGAAACTAATGTGTGGTTCCCGCTGTACATTTTGACAGCATTCTTTAGGGCCCATTCACACCAGACACTGCACTAATCGTGTACTTTTTTTTTTTTTCTGGAACTTAATTGAAATGTAACAGTTAAAGTGACATTAAACCCTCAGATTTTTTAACATAAACCAATACTGTAATGTGTGCCTTACTGTAATCCATGGTTGTTTCCCTTCTCTTTGCTGCTCTTCCTTTTAAATCCTCATGTCTTCTCATGCTTGGGAAAAACTTCCCTTTTCAGCTCAGTGCCTCTTCCTGTAGTGCTTGCTCAGATTACAAGCCTATACAAACGTATACACAGACACCGTGTATCCATTCCTGAGACAAGGCAGTCTGCTGCAAAACAGAAGTTCTGCAGAGCATGAGAACAGATACAGATTAAAAAGGAAGAGCAGCAAAGAGAAGGGAAACTACCATGGATTACAGTAAGGCGCACATTACAGTATTGTTTTATGTTAAAAAATCTGAGGGTTTAATGTCACTTTAACATTTTTTCAGTTCTTCGGGCGCCTCGGTTATGAGGCGGTTGTTACGCGTCACATTCTGCTGCATTGAAAAAAAGCAAGGCAT